TGGCTGGACGGAAAGTTCATGGAGTTCTCCAACAACGAGCAACGTTTAGCACCAAACAAAATATTCAAGGAAATGCCCAAGGGAACATGCAAGGAAACATTTTAAGTGGTACCGCTTCGGGACGAAATAGCCACGTGCTAAGTCTGCCAAACTTATCCTTAAATACCATAGAGAAACTGATTGATTCAGCTGGTGGTGAGCAATCGAAAGGTGATTATGACCATGGCTATGGTTCCAGTTCGAAGAGTCCTGCAGGGAACAAAGTAACTGATGGAATTCCTGGTGCCCAAGATTCCTCCGAGCAAACTGGTGCTTCAGACTGGAATGTACACCACAGCCTTAACGAAAATGGGAAGTTCGTCCACAATTTTGACTGGAAGTCACCTCTGATCAGTCAAGCACAGTCACCATCCGACTTCAACTGGAAACTTGAGAGAGCCCTGACGGAATGGAAAGAGCCACCCAACGCAAATCACGATCCCGCTAATTCGGGTGGGACATTACCGGACAATCCACCGGAGAAAGTATTTGTACCGCCGAAAGGTTCCAATGGTAATCCTGACGTCGTTCCTGGATATACGTTTGATACCCAGGGCCAGAGGTCGGGACCACTGTTTCTTCCCAACCCGCCTCCCGAGCTTGGAGATGACACAAGTGCAGAAACCGTGCTGATGGTACCATCATCAGGAGACAAGTCAAAAGGAGAGGCTGGGGCGAAGAAAGAAAACATCAACAAGAAGGTCAAGACAAGTCAGAAAGAACAAACAATCTAGTCTGAGTTAGAAAGTCCTACCTTCCATTTTGTTGTAGAAACTTATGGAAAGAATTGTTTCCTCCTTAGGTTTGGGGAAGATTTCTTCACGTTATTGTGGTTAGTATCCTTCGGTTTGGGAGCTATCCAATAGGAACCCCGTTATAGTAATGATGCGGATTTTGATTGTTACCATTTGTACTGCTAAGGGTTTTCAGCTTCAAAGTTAAGGCAGCACCAGTTGTAGCATTTGGAGTTATCGAAAACCCGGGTCCAAAACTGCTTTATATTTATGACGTATGACATTGCTTTCGAAAACCATTTTCGAGTATAATGTGCTACAATCATGTGGTTTACCGTTAGAATGTGGGAAAATATTTACAATATATAATATTTTGGAACTGATAGTTACTCCACAAAGCGAGATTTTGGTAAAAGTTTGGTTTCCTGCTAACATTTGCCACAAGTTTCCGAGGCATTTAGATTTTGAGCCCCTTCCTGGGGCCCTTTAGGTTTTCTCCTTTTCAAACATAGATCAAAGCACCAAGGCAGCAAGTATATAACATTTAGACCAGTTTGAAAGGGAATGTGCAGTTCACTGTCAATCTTTTTAAATTTTTGTCCGTAGGTAAAATGTCCCCTACTGATGTCTGTTTAAATCTAAGACTTGCAGTTAGAATTCAGAGAATTTAATGGTACAAGAAGGCAAAATATTCTTTCTTGAGAATGCCGCACTTGAGAGTTCGACATCGACAAGAAACTGGTCCCATGCATGAGCTCCTTGCAATGATAATTGTTCGAATAATTCTATTCTTAGACAACGGCTATTTTAATAAAGAATAATGCGTTGGTAAAATGTCGTCACGAATTGCTAACGATCGTGGCAGCATCCAGATTTTCGCCTACTTTTTTTAAGGTCGCTTAATGGCAATAAGCCTTACATCTGAATGTTGCCACGAGTTACGGGGTGGCGGAAGCGCGATAAGTATTAGTGCTACGTGTCGATAAGTATTAGTGCTCTGTGTCACGAATACAGAAACTATCACAGAGCTCTGGGAGTCGCTATTTGGATCAGTGCTATTCATTATTACTGATGACCGGGGGGACTCCCGTATAAAAAGGACGGGGGTACTGGTCGTACCTCTGGTACCTCTTAGGGTGCTCAGCCTCAAAAGGTCCCACAGCAGGAGCTGTCGTGGTACCTTTCAGGGTATTGAACCAAAAGGTCAGCGTCAGTTCATAAGTTAGTTAAGAATTGGTACCTCTTAGGGGTGAAAAAGAATTCAAGCCACGTCCACAAAACAGGGTTTGGTACTTCTTTAGGGGTTGTGTTCAAAGTTTCCGACAAGTACCCCGGTCCTTTTTATAGGGAAGTCCCCCTCGGGATTGATTTTTCTTAGGAATAAAATAGTTTCGTAGACACTTTGAGGGATTATAACCACAGAGGAAGTAGCGCCCTACGACCAGAGGATACCAAGTACGTTAAAGCATGGGGTTACTGGAGTTAGTTTGACTATAAATCATTGCCGAATTTTCTCACAAACTCGTAAATCGGTGAACAGGTTTTGCTTTTGGTTCTATTGATTAATAAAAGAGCTTTTTTTATTAGAGTCTTCAAATGTCTATCTGGTAGGTCCTTAGTTTCACTTAATTAATGACGAGTTTACAAATGAGCATGACTGGAATTTTTGTCGCAAAGCTGTTGACCGTATTGTGACCCACAGAGATTTTCTGGGTAAACGAGACGATCATTTCAAGCGGCAAAGGCTCGGAATATTTGACTTGTGTCTAGAAAACGTTTTTTGCTTGAATATTTCGCCTGCCACCAAGTCCTCAAATAAATGTTGGCTATTTTCCACGAAAAAGCACATGACATGTCAAAGGTTCATTCACATGTCCCAGTGTCGTCTGAAAACATTAAGACGGAATCCACCAGAAGTTCGAGTAACGAGTCGACAAAAACCTAGTACCCCTGAGATTATTTACATCGTATTGCAAACTTCTGTACGACTGTTTTAAATATCTTCTCAAAAAAAAAAAAACATTTTCAGCAACACCAAACGTCGAAAACGAATGTTGAACTTAGTATGAAACACTTGAAAGTACTGGTGAAAGGAAACTGATGATGAAATGTTTCCTGTGTTTGCACAAGTTCTCTGAACTTTGAAATTCATTTTCTCTCGTTCCCATGGGAAATTGTTTTCGGTGTTATTTCAGGCAATTATTTATGTATTTACCTTTAAGAAAATGTAAAAATGACTGTAAAATACTGAAAATTATTCTGGTACCAGATTTGTGTCCACTAAAACCTAAAATTGCTCGATTTTCCATCGGATTTCGTCTTAACTCTTGGAAAACTATCTGTGTGCAAAACTGGTTCTGTGCCATTCAAACTTAGAGTCATCTGGATTCCCTCTAGTGCAAAATTAAATTTTTAGCCTTCAAAAATCTCAGCATATTTAAAAATAGTATATAACAAATTATGGTATGGAAAGTAATAGCTAGTAATCAAAGCGAAATATCAAACACGACAATTCGTGTTTTTCCTCATCTTCAAACACCTTTCACAAACATCCAGGGCCGGATTGTTCAAAGCCAGAATTAGTGAGAATTTTGATTTCAGTTTTGTAACTTTTCGATGACCTTTTCGATGACGTTTCTATCGTTTGTGCTTCAGTTTTGAGCTAGAGTAATTTCAAACTAATCAAAACATAAGGAGTCAAAAACACTTTTTACACAAGAAAATTTAATACTTCGGTTAACTTTTAATCCTGGGTTTGCGTTAAACGGCTTTCGAACCCGGCCCAGCAGGTCTTCATAAATGTGGTGAAACACAATCTCGGGTGTTCGATCAATCGAAACTAAAACGTAAGAGAAAACGAAGACAAAATCGAAAACTTCTATGCTGATTAAGATCAGTTATCCATCACCATTACTGGTACGATCCCTTTTGCTCGAAAACGCAAAACAAGTGAGCGTGCGAGCGTGACTGCGAGCGTGACATGCGAGCGGCGAGCGGCGAAGCCGACCTCTCACATGTGTTGCGTTTTTTGTGTTCTTCCCAACGGATTTTCGTGCAAAAGACAGTCTTCTTGCAGTTCATTCATCTTGTTGAATTATTTATGAGTTTGAGAAGTTACTGCACCACTTTTATTTACCAATTTTATTTTATTACAACTCAACTTTTCGAGGATACGCTATGTAGTTTCGTACTGGCTCAGGACTGTATGCCCATTTTATAAAATGCGTCATTCCAAAATTTTCAACAAAACCGCATGGCAGGGTCACATGCAGCAATACATTAAAAACATCAAACTCGAAGTTTCTCTATTCTGAGGGTTTTCAGAGGATGTTCAGCAGCCTATTGTCAACTTCCCACGTTTCGAGCAACTTTTACACTTCTAACAATCTTTTGCATTCACGAATTCTGACTACTTCTGAGAAATCTCACTAAGTTGTTTAACGAAACTTAGGTCTGTAGAATAGCAGAGCAGTACGTATGATCTTCCCGCGGTTAGCTGAAAAACTGATTAAGGTAAGCTGGTAGTAACGTCAAAACAAATTGAAAATGGCGGACTAGAAAAAAAGTGTCTTTGAGAGTGATCAACGCTTAAGTGAATTACAGCTGTTGCATTAAAATAAGAGCTTGAAGCCGAAACATTCAAGGGACTTAGAGATGATTTCCAGTCCGTACTACGCACTCTCGAGAGTTTGCTCACGTTTTTTGTTTTGTTTCATGTATGACATCACAAAATGTTTCGCAAAAATGTTTCGCAACTACTTACATGAAGTAAATTCATGTCAACTGCTATTATGGGCGCGTAGTTTTATGTTTCGTTCTTTCTCATGTCACTTGATGAAACAGCTTCGCAGCTGTAGGAATCAATGAAGCTGTTGGAAAAAGAATTTGAAAGGCCTCAAAGATAAGGCATGTAGTTCGTAACGAATAACATCGATTCGCATTCCATCGAGTGAGATTTTTTTATGTTTATGAACATGAGGGTGACGAGACTGCGCAGTACGAACTGAAAATCATCTTTAACTGTATTAGTGATTCACAACTGCTTATAACTGATGGTCTCCCAGGGGTTTGGGGGAATCTGCCTGGGCACATGATCAGTTATTTCTAGGGACCTTTGACCAAAAAAAATTAGGGAACAAGGGAGAAGAAATGTTACTTTTGTGGGACAGCAAGCGTATTTTTAATACAAACCTACCGACACAGAGAGCAACTTTTTCAACGAAAAGGTACTTCTTTCTGGATCAGTTTAATAGCTAGCCGGTTAACGCTAACGTTTCTCTTTTGCATTAAAATACAATCCACCATGTTAGTGAGGACATGTCGTGTAATTTTGTAGTTTCTACCTGAAATGTCCTCATATCCACTTCGAATTAATTTATATTGTAATGCAAATGAAAAAATAATCGTGAAGGACTATTGAGAAACTCTTGAGCCAAATTTTGAGGAATGTTTAGCATCTTTTTGTAACGTCGCTTACGTTTACAGCCAGCTAAAACGGCAGCTCTTCACTGACGCATTTTCGTCCTCCAATAAAACAATCACACGATGTACTTGCTAATATCCTCCGAAGAAGAAATGGGTATCTTCTCCAAACAAAAAAAAAACAAAACAAAAGTTGACAGGGGTTACCTGGGCCAATGTTCGTCCTCTCTTGCAGAAACAAATTCCTAGACTTGAGTTACGAGAGGCACAGTGGGGCGTGAAGTGCTCGCTTTGTCCTTAAACTATTTTATGTCGAGACGTTGATCTCTAGTGTAACTAGCTTAATTTCAACGATCTACGTAAAAGTACGACTTAAACAAAAAGTGAGCCATAGTCGGTCCTATATATGCAAACTAAGACCATTTTGGATGCTTTTTCCAGACGGTGGTTGGACTTTGCTCTTTAAATATGCGAATACTACAAAAAAAGAAATATTTTACATTTTGTGCGATACTACTACCGAATGTTAGTCATGACGTTGCTAACACATATAGCAAGCTCTTGAGCGACAAGGAGATGAAATCCGTCTCCAGAATGAACGGAACATAGCAAAATATTTGTTCATATTTTCACCTGTCCATTTTGCGACAGTATTACGGCCGAGTCTTTGGTGATTCAAAACTGGCAAATGCGTGTACAGTAATGGAACAAAAGACCGTACACGATAATGGTAATTATCATGATCACGATTGTGATGTCTGTAACGGGATCCTTTGCGTCTCCGCGAAGCTACACGCGGTTCTAGAGTGGCAACTTTCCTAGCTGCTTTGATTAGGGCATTGGCTAAAGCCTTTCCAACCATGTTTACGGAGTACTCGTTGTTACTACTGTTGGACCTTGAGTCTCGGGCAGGTGCATCTTGTCCTGTGACGGGGGGAACCACTTGTAATGGCTGCCCAAGAGGGCGTTGGATGGAAAGTGGCTGTTGCAGTGATGGCCGTGGTGCGGCATTGGTAGAGACAGGAGGAGGGGCAGGATTAGGCTTGGGCAAGGTACCAGGTTGGGCTTGAGACAATGCCTGCGATAATGCTTGCACTAATCTTGCATTGCTGATTGGTTGAATGCCTTGCTGCATGTTCTGAGACAAAGCTTGTATCAAAGCAGCCGTTAGCAGGTCAGGTGGTTGACTGCGTGCTTGAGCTTGATTCGCGGCAAGAGACAATGCCGACGCAAGAGCATTTGGCTGTGACTGAGTCATCGAAGAACGAATGGCATTTGCAAACAAGGTGGTAATGCCATTGTAAAGAAGGGGATCATACCCTCCTGTGGCTTGAGGAAACTGTTGGACCCCAGGTAAGGAAAACGGCGATGAAAACATCAGAGGAGATGGGTACTGCTGAGACAGCTGGGCCAATGGTGAAGCATATTGAGGCCACGGTGAATTCATATTCTGGAGCATTGGTGACTGGAGACCTCCCATTCCCATAGGGTACATGGAACCTCCTTGAGGCACAAATCTATTCCAGAGAAGGGAGGACATTGGCGATAAAGGAGATAATCCTGGCACGGGGCTAGACATTAACATGTTGTTAAGGTCTCCCGTGGGTGATGGAGGGATTGAAGACACTGTTATTGCAGCTGGTGGCGATGCGGCAACAGTAACTTGCCCTGGGGGAGGGGCCAAATTTGGTGGACCGACTAGAGGCGAAGGGGCGGCTATTATAGTTCGGGGAGGTGACGCTTGTTCTAGATACATTTGAGGAGCGGCCGCGGGAGCAGGTGGGTATTGATTTCCAGGTTGTTGATACATCATGGCGGTCTGGGCTTGTTGTGGCTGGGGTGCAATAACGTATGTTGGAGGTGGTGGTGCTGGCGGTGGAGGTGCGATAACATATTGTGGTGGTGGTGGTGGGGGTGCGTAGGCGTATTGTATTGGGGGTGGTGGCTGAGCAGACTGTGGCATTATTATCTGAGGTTGCTGAGGCGTTTCCGGTGCCGCTGGCACTGGTGCTAATATTATCTGTGGAGTGGGCTGCGTTTCAGATTCCTCTTGAGATGGCAAAGTGAGAGGGTAAAAGCTTGGCGCTGTTGGTGTTATTGGAACACTTTCGTGCTGCTCAGCCTGACCAATTTCCCCATTTTCTCCAATCTCCAGGTTCAGATTAATGTTAGCCGCGCCAGTTGGCGGCGCTCTTTTAAACGGAGTCGCAGCCTGGATAGCTATGACCTGCTTCTCTGTCGGTTTGGTAGTAGGCGGCAATGGGGTGGTTAATGGTGTGGTCAGCGGGGTTGTCAGAAGCGGGGTTGTTATCGGAGGGATTGTAGTTGGTGTTGTTACCGGCGTTGTTGGTGTTGTTGTAGGTGGTGGCGGTGGTGGTGTTGTAGGTGCAGCTGTTGGTTTAAATGTCGGCGCTGCAGTTGAAGTTGCACCCTCCTCATCCAATAAAAAAGCTTCATGCTTGCTGTTGATCGTGTTATCGGGAGGAAGAACAATGTAGGGCTCATCATCTACTACAGGTTCATTGTTGGAAATCTGTTTTATCTGTTTTCTGTAAAGCTTTGTGTCATACCATGGATCCGAGTCTCGGTAATAACTCCAAAACTGCCTTCTTGCAAAGGGCAATTTATTCCTCCTCCAAATAAAATCTGTTTAAAAATGGATAAAATCATAAAAGCTAAGAAAACATCTTCTCGCATATTACATTTTAAACCATGTCATAGAAAATACAGCCAATCAGAATACAGGAAAGCTGTTGTATATTCGATGGTATTATATCCAACCTTCCCATCATGCCCCGCGCGTATGGCTCATGGATTGGGTTGGCCACTGTATTTTCTTTGACACGATATGAAATAGTTATCCAACGCTCTCTAATGGTATATCGTGGAATATCCCACTTGCTTATACATCGACTATTCTCTGGGACAATATCCCTACTCATCTAAAAGATCTCAATACCTTCAACTTTTCGAATCATCTGAAACTTTATTTACTGTCTGAACAACATTCTGAAAACTAGTAATATTTCTATATGCTCCTTTTTTTTTT